CCCCCCCCCCCCCCCCCCCCCCCCCCGACTCCATTTTCACCTATAACTTGAATTCCAAATTCCATCTTTACAGGCATTATACTAGTTGTACGCCACCTACACTGATTCAGGATACCCACGTCAATTCAGCGGCTAGTGTAGGGCTTCGTCATCGCTCGGTGCCCTTCTTGGAAAACTCCAACCGGCAACTATACATCACCGCAATGGCTCGCACAACAAGTTGCCAAAAAAAGTAGTGATTCAAGCGAGTTGGACATATTGGACAACAGGAGGAAAGACAGGATTTGTAACGACAGTTCGAGAATGCAGAGATGCTTTTGGAAACGCCTCTCAAGCTACGCGAGCTTGTTGGAGCGCTACAGAGAGAAGAGCTTTGTAGTGAAAACGTTACGCGGTGTTGATTTGCCTCGTTCCTGATTTGGAGTCACAAAGAAGGACTTGAGGACTTGGCGCACTCAGCCACTTGTATAGGCCCTCAGCGTCTCAGCTTTTGTTTCTAAAGTTCGTTTAAACTAAAACTCTCTGGTTGAGCCGGAAGATGGGAAATTCGATGTGTTTGAGCATTAGCCCATGGGTAAAATTCGAATCGACACATGCCTTGAAAAAAAGGCAAGAATTCCGGATTCTGCGATCTTCGATACGTGCCCCTCGTTAAGTTTCATGAAAGCGTATCATGCCCATTTTCTCGATAGTCGAAGCAATCCTTCATTTTCGAAGGTGCTCCTGGGGTTACAATAAGGCGATTGTAGTCTAACGGGGTAGGAAGTCGCAGTTCATTATGCAGGCAGTGCTGTTTCTGATTACATGCTGTCAAAAGTTCCTGATACTCTGTTTTTCCTTTGGATTGAGAAGTCCACCAGTGAATTCCCCAAGTCCACGCCTCCTTCAGCGCTTAAAACTGAATCTTGTTTCGGAGAGGCGCGATTACGGGGTTTTACCATCATGAAATGACGGTAAAGACTTGGCCATTGTAATAGCGATCTCCTTCTCAGCGATTTATTGGCAATCAAACCAACTGAAATCGAATGAATGACGGACATTAGTGAAAGCTGTGGCAGGGACCGTATGAGAACACATTAGAAGTGCGACCCTGATGATTTCCTTCCGATTACAGGCAAAGATTTTTTCCACAAACTCATGCGATTTCACAGTTTTCTTTCATTCAATCAGACTAATTTTTACGATGAACATGACCACTTCAGACGATGACTCAGTCGTTTGTGACGGTTACAAGCAAAAAGTTGGTTTCAGCTGGTAGAACTGGTTTTGAAAGGTTGATGACGATTGCGGAATTTGTCACTTGCCCTTCAATGACGATTCACAGTTTGAGCTACATATTTGGCTACTGTTCTACATTTTACGTTTATGAATGTCTTTGGGTTTTGTTTTTTATGAGATGACCATAATATTTTCCTTTGAGGGAGTAAGATGACCATATTTCTAATTTTTCTTGTTAGAAGTCATTGTAATCGTATGGGCTCAAGCTCTTCTCATCTAATTCACCAATTACGAAGGATATAAAGTAGAATCTAAAAAATAAAGTCTTCGGGCGTCGGTCAATTCTGTCTTAGGGTTGCGCCCCCGCATTCCACTTCCCTTCAGAATCGTATGGCGCATTGAATGCGTATAAGGTCTATAAAATGGCTTGGTGTAGCCAGCCGATGTGCCTGTCAGTGTTTTTATATTCCCAGAGAAGTCTGGTACCGAGGAACGCTACAGGAAGATGGAGGGCTTGGTTAGCCTAGGCAGATATTGATCCGGGATTCGAATCTGTGACCATGCGGATGTGATAGCGCGCCGCTTGCCGCTACTCCACGTTCGCCTCTCAAGGGATATGGGGTAAGATTTTTGTTGATTATAATTCATTTCTCTCGACTTTTTTTTGAACTGAAGCCGCTCATCGCTGCTTGTATGAACCACACAATTAAATGCAACAGTCAGATGATGTACAAGCTCGTGTCTTTGCTGACTCACCAATGATATGAGGCAAAAGTAGAACGAGTCAAGAAATGACCAGCCAGACTCGTAGAATGTGAACACCCACGCTGCTACAGTCATATAGCCGAAAAGGCTGAGCAGAACAGTAAAGCGACGAGCACCGGAAACCTGAAAAGAAAGATGGTCCCAACAAATTCCTGGTTAGCGTAACAAGACAATATAAGTCAAATAAGGACTTTAGCCTTTCGAGCCCACCTCTGCTAACGGGTTGTCTTCGCCGGGACGTCCAAGAAAATCGGCGAGGAACTTCGCGACATCAGCGATCGTAATAAGAGTAAGAGGAATTCTAAAGAAAGCATTGGAAGCGCTCACTGTTCGATATGAAAAGTACATGGGGAATAGCCATAGCGAGAATACTAATTTACGAAATGCGAAAAGAAGAACTCAGAATACAAGTGCGCAAAAAGTACTTGTTTCGATTGATTCAATTTTACTGTAGTTGGTGGTGACCTCTGATTTTGAAATTGGTAGTGCCAAGAACCGAACATACCCAAGGATCGCGTAGAACATGCACAAAATCTGTCCTTCTGGTGAGATCGGGATCAGATGACCATATCCTGAAAAACCGGTTCTCAGAATTTTCTTGATAAGCGGCATGTGAAGAGAATCTGACAAGGCCACTCATTCTCTATTTACCCTGTGAACTACTCATGACAGGTGAGGTCAGGGTACAGAAGTGACTCCTTGAAAGGTGTGTAGCGGTCCTATGTGTCACACAAGGTTTGACGTCTGTTTGTCTGTGCGTCCGTTGATGAAGGCCGAAAGGGGGTAACGGATAGGCTTTGGGATAGTTTGCTCTGGAGAACGAGAAGGCACTCATAATGGCCGAGTCGCACCCAGATCATTACACAATATACCTTCTTGTTGCGATTGTATAGCTGCTATGTCCAGTAACCTTCTCTTACTGCCTTATTTATACCCTTATAACTTTAAATAGGTGGAGATGGTGTAGCGACCGGTGGCGCTCTTCATACACACGTGGTCACGGGTTCGAATCTCCGATCGGTATCCGCGTAGGGCAACCAAGCCTTTCATCCCTCCAGGGTTCGTTAACGGGTACCAGAGCAGTCTGGGAGGGCCAAAGCACTGGTTTGTACATCGGCTGTCCACCATAAGTCCTTGTATAAGCCACACACGCACTCAATACGCCACTACGATTCTGAATGGGAGTCGAATGTGGGAGCGCATCCCTCAGACGGGATTGACGAACGTCCGAAGGCTTCCCCTTTGTACTTCATTATGTTAAAAGGTCTAGAACAATTACAATTCAGATTTCAGCCCGATATAGTACCTTACACCACTGCAGTCAACGAACTAATTCCTGTCCAGTCAGCAACTAAACAACTTAGCTCTACGGTGAAGGTCTAGTACAGCGAATGTTTTTTCATGATGCTTCTGTGTTTCTCGAGAAGAAGAAGAGTTTCAAATTTTTGACCACCCTAATTTCAAAAGCCGAGCTGAAAAGGCGGGCGAAGTTGGCGAATGGGAGTTTCTCAGATTCGCCACTGCTTAGCTGATAATCATAAGTACCGCTTCTTAAGAGAGTTTGACTAAGTAAATAAGAACGATGCCGAATGTGTATGTGTCCAGGTTTCTACGTTACAGACATCAGTTTCGTACCTATGGATGTGAGCACGGTTGTCGTGAAGAAAAGCGATGATGCCAAATTCCATTTTGAACGAAATGAGTTGTTGTAGAGATCTGAAAACCAGAAAAGAGAAAATTGCTTCGAGATATATGGTTTGTTAAAGAATTCAAAAGTATTATGTTATTTCACAACTAGTGGGGCACTTTAATCGCTTGTATCGTGTGCTGCCCATGTTACTATCATAAGTTCGCTCGAGCGGGTCCAGTTGATTATCCATTCCCCCCCCCCCCCCCCCTCCTTCCCTGGCGCAAGCCACTAGACCTCTATGAATCATTTGGTTGAAGAACAGAAAACCTATTAGTCGCTCCGTCAAACACTTTCGTGAAGAAGTTCGATTATCGGGACAGTCGCGGTCTAGCTGTGGTTTAAAGTCCTGAAGTACCCAATCCCTAACTGCCACAAAATCGCATGCAGTATTCAGCCAACCTAATCTTCCATTGCTTTGCGTATGTGGTAGCGTCCTGATCTTCGTTCATAGAACTCCAGATATTCCGAGACCCTTCCTGCGCTACTGGTTGAGATAACTTCAAGCGTCGTGTTTCTAACTGAAAGACGCTGATTGCAAGCTCATCCTGCTTGCGCGGCCTCGATTCTATGAGGCGCAAGCCTAAGCAGGAAAACCGGCTGAATGTAATAGTTCTTCTTCTTTTCGATCTTCTCCATCCTCTTCTCCCTTGATCTTCGTGAATGCTTCCCATGTCAAAGCCTTTGCTCCTTTCTTCAAAGGTGGGTCGTTCGTCATGTTTATTACCAACACAGCTAGTTTGTTCAGGAAAAAATTAACAAAAACGTGCAGTGAAAATTCCTTTACCAAGACGGCCTCCGGAGGGCTCACTCGCGTGACGACCTTTCCACGGCATTTGCTTTGCCTTTTGGCCCCTGTCCCTTTGAGTTTTCCTCGATGATGATCTCTTCCAAAACAGGGAGATTGTTTCAATCGTGAACCTGTTGTACAGCCCACGAAGCATTTTTGCATGACGAGTAGGATTACCCGAAATGCAGTGAGCTCCTATAAGCGAATCGTCCCCAAAAGTGCCACAGACCCTCTTCAAATTGATGAACACAAAACTCAAGAACGGCTTACTTCTACTTCCGCAATATCTTAATGGGTCTGATAAACGTGAGTACATGGCTAGTCGCACCTGTTCCGGAGCACTTTTCATTTGAATGGTTGTTCTTCAGCTAGGGTCCTGCCACTTCTGTTGAGAATAGCTTGCGTAAAGAATTCATAAATTACAAATGACAAGCAGGTCGAGCGATAGTTGACAACATCGGCTATGCACTCTCTATGACGCAGAAAAGCATTACTGATGTTCTGCACTTCGTCAGTCTTATACGCAGTTCCCGGGCCAGGGTTTGATGATATCTGGATGATACCTACCATCTTCGGATGTTCTAACTGAGCCTGTAGAAGCTGGTTGGTGTACAGCTAGTTCTCCATCGTGAGAATGTCGGACTTTGGAAGGAAGAATTGGAGAGACGACCGCATCCATCCTTCATGGGATGGTAAATGTGCAGCCAGACATGGCTGTAGAAAAGATCAGGGCAGAAGTCGTATATGATCTTTCCCATTAATTTTCGGGATTCATTAACTACAAATTCATGACGGCAAAAGGAGGTACAATACCCACCCTAAATGTTCAAAAAAACACGAAGAAAACGCGAATTCGCGTTTTTTTCGTTTTTTCTCTGTAACTGGGTTGATTTCCAATTTTTTAATATGGTGTGCAATATGGTTGAACTCAGCTCCTCGAGCTCTATAAGATGGTTTATCTAAAATTCTTGAAAGTTCGATTTTGAAGTTCCCCATCCATCAAAGTTCCTGAGGGTACGTCATTAACGGCGACTCCTGCTATAATTATAACCAGAGGACATTCTCTTCTATTAAAAGTAGTCTGTGAAACGTGGAGTAGCGAATATTTTCCGGCATCAGGTGAAAATAAGATCATGACATTTCTCAGATCGTCCTGATCACTTCGATACCAGTTTTCCCCAGAATGGATGAATTTGGCCATAGGCCACATTCAAATGAGAGAGGTTTTCGAAATCAAAGTTAGCCAACATCAGTTGATTTCTATTCTCAGAAAATGGTGTGCCTATTCTCCAGGAAGATTACTTTCCCATGATTGAAAATTAGAACTCTGAGTTGAATAGAAAAGGGTATATAATCGTTTAAAATCCGGTGCGCGCCATGTTTTCACAAGGAGCATAGGTTTTCTTGCTTTTTTGAGTGAAATTTCCGATGACTAGGGAGGAGCTGCGCACTGTTCCGGAAGTATTCATACTAAACTCTTTGTGAATGATCACTGACTGTAAAAAATCGTGACTTATCTAAAGCCTAGGACTACATATAGACTCCCGATATCGCCCCAAAGCACAGTAGACAGAATTTTGAATTTTGCATTTAAAGTAAGCATCCTGAAACTACATAGTTGGAATCCATATTTAAAAAGCTACTCTGTCATGTGAAAATCAGTCCACAAAGTTCACTTCGAATTTGCACCTTAACACCGCTTTTCTACCCCTCCTATTCTCTCGGCCACCCTATTGGGTCTCCAGCTCAGCTAGCTAGGACAGGGTATGGTCCCGCGACCTCTGCGGCCCTTGCAGTAATCACCTAGGGAGTTTCTTCGCACCTCGACAATAGCCTACCTATCAATGGTGCCGCAATCGTAAACTGTTTTACAATCCGCACATTCAAATGTAGCCGCTACTTTAACTTACTGATGAACTTCAAAATAGCGCGAATATTCAAAATCATACGAATTACACAAGGAGAACTTCAAGTATAATTAATATCGGTAAAAATGAAACATCTGAGCAGGAGAGCCCATAGGGTTGGTGAAAGAATGCGAAGGGTAGAAAAGCGGTGCTAAAGGTGCAAATTCGAAGTGAACTTTGTGGATCGATTTTCATATGACTGAGTAGCTTTTTAAAAATGAATTTCAACTATGTAGGTTTCAGTAGGCTTACTTTGAATGCAAAAATCAAAATTTTGTCTACTGTGTAATGGGGCGATATAGGGAGCCTATATATAGTCCTAGGGTTTAGATAAGTCACGATTTTTTACAGTCAGTGATCATTCACAAAGAGTTTAGTATGAATACTTCCGGAACAGTGCGTAGCTCCTCCCTGTTCATCTGAAATTTCACTCGAAAAAGCAAGAAAACCTGTACTCCTTGTAAAAACATGGCGCGCACCGGATTTCAAACAATTATATAACCTTTTCTTTTTAACTCAAAGTACTAATTTTCAAGTTATGGGAGAGTAATCTTTCTGGAGAACAGGCACATCATTTTCTGAGAATAGAAATCAACTAATGTTGGCTATTCTTTGTTTTGAAAAGCCTCTGTCGTTTGAATTTAGCCTAGGGCCAAATTCATCCATTTTGGAGAAAACTGGTATCGAAGTGATCAGGACGATCTGAGAAAT